GTCTCCAAGTTGACCCTTTCGATGCCGTCGCCCTCGGTCTCGTGTTCGTGAGTAGGAGGTTTCTCCGATTCGTTTAGCGTCGCGTCAGGGTTATCTTTTCCGGAATCCTTTTCCGGTAAGTTACCCTGCTCGGTTCTGGGACGATCCGTAGGAGCGCTGAAATCGAGCCTCCTTCCGCAGATCTTAATAGTTCCGCGGGGGCGAATTGCTCGGGTTTTCGCGGTTAGGGTTTCAACCCGTTATGCGAGCGAACCAATGAGCTTTTCATGCTCTTCCGATTTTTTGTTAAACTCGGAAAGCATCTTTTCGATGGTCTCGGCGTTAGCGTTTGTAGCGTTGGCCGCGGACGCATCTTGTGGTGGTGGTGTTTCTTCGTTGGACATGTTGCGGCTTCGGTGTAAATAGATCCGACCCCCCCCCCCCTCCTTCTAGCGCCAAACTGTGGGAACTGAAATCCACCTACTGTCAATAAATCATAAATAAGGAAACTTCGGGAAAACCCTAAGTTTCCAGAGGAACCGGCTATCTGCATAACCGCACAACGAAGATTAAGAAAACGACGAACTTAGAAATTAAAAGAGAATAAACGAAATCGAGAGCAAAGAGGTTCTTTTTCCGAATCTGCGTAAGAACTGTTACAACGAGAGTAACCATAGCTGCGTGACCCGTTGGCGAAATCCCTAGAAGTCTAAGAACGAAAACCCTAGTTGAGACACAGCTCACTAACAGAAAAAGGAAATATTCCTAAATGCTAATTTTGGTGGTGAGAGCTCTGAAAATCGTGTCCCAGCTTCTGCCCCATGCCTATTGCTTATATACTCCCTCTTAGGCGGTTTTAGTCTTTCCATTTTGCCCGAAACTGAGTTTATCTGGAATTTTCCATTTCTCTCGATCCTTCCTTTTCTTCCGCGGAAATCTTCTATTTGTCTCCAAACTTGCCTTTTGTCTTCAAACTTTACATTTATCTTCCTTCCGCGAGTTAACCATCAAAACGTTATCGTATCTTTGGGTTAGATTCTGTTGAGATCGCGAGATGGGCTTTTATCGCGTTTTAGGACCTTCCAGACCGTTTTGCGATAAATCCGTTTCTCGACCTTGTACGGAATCGTTTCCTGATTCGATACCGTTTTTAGTAAATTCCTCGAGTTAACCGTAATGTTTGTTTCTCGGTTTATTGTTTCCATCTTTTACGATTTACTCGACATTTTTATTAAAAACGCGTTTTTTACGATTTACTCGACGTTTTTATTAAAAATACGTTTTTTACGATTTTAACGAAAAATCTCGGATAAATCGTATAGTTTAGGCAATGTTCGGTGTCTTGTTTAACCGTTATCGTTTTATACGATTTCTTTTCGAGAAAACGGAGTTTTACGGTTTTTAACGTAAAACTCGAACGATAAGTCGGATCGAGACGAAACGAGAGACATTTCGGGCGTGGTTCAGAATGTGACCGTGTCGAAGGAAGTAAGTTTCGAATCGGGGATGCGGGAGATCAAGGCTCGGGATGGTCGGTTCAATGTACGGAGAGTCGAACCGGTCCGATCCAGCTCGCCAGTTTGACGAACTGCCCGGGAAATCTCTAGTTCGCCTGCTGGCGAACTAAGCCAGCTTGGCTTAGTTCGCCAGCAGGCGAACTAGTCGGGGAGTGCCTAGTTCGCCTGCTGACAAAATAAGCCAGCTTGGCTTAGTTCGCCAGCAGGCGAACTAGTTGGAAGCTTCTAGTTCGCCTGCTGACGAACTAAGCCAGCTTGGCTTAGTTCGCCAGCAGGCGAACTAGTCGGGGACCTTCTAGTTCGCCTGCTGGCGAACTAAGCCAAGCTGGCTTAGTTCGCCAACAGGAGAACTAGTCGGGAAGCTTCTAGTTTGCCTGCTGGCGAACTAAGCCAGCTTGGCTTAGTTCGCCAGCAGGCGAACTAGTCATGACTAGTTCGCGTTTTGCGGCGGTTTCGGGTTTTTGCAATTTTGTAAAAGATTCTCGAGTTTTATAAAACAATTCTTCGAGTTTTTATAAAACGATCTTCGAGTTTTATAAAATGATTCTCGAGTTTATAAAATGATTCTCGAGTTTTATAAAACGATTCTTCGAGTTTTTATAAAACGATCTTCAAGTTTTATAAAACGATCTTCAAGTTTTATAAAACGATCTTCGAGTTTTCTAACGACTTCTCGAGTTTTGTAAAACGATCTTCGAGTTTTATAAAATGATTCTCGAGTTTTATAAAACGATTCTTCGAGTTTTTATAAAACGATCTTCGAGTTTTTATAAAACGATTTTCAAGTTTTATATAACGACTTCTCGAGTTTTATAAAACGATTCTCGAGTTTTATAAAACGATCTTCGAGTTTTATAAAACGACTTCTCGAGTTTTACAAAACGATTCTAGAGTTTTATAAAACGATCGTCGAGTTTTATAAAATGATTCTCGAGTTTTATAAAACGATCTTCGAGTTTTATAAAACGATTTCGAGTTTTATAAAACGACTCCTCGGGTTTTATAAAACTATTCCTTTTGTATTTTTTGCGGGGAATTTTGGCTATTGATTCCGTCGTACCGATTTTGACCTCAACATCACATTGTTATATTACCTCATCCCAGTGCTGCTATGGGATATGATGTTCTACTATGGAAGCAGAGCGATGAAAAATATGCTCAGAAGTTTTCCACATGTTGTACTTGAGATCAGATTTGAACTATCAGACTAGAAGTGGTTTTGTGCAACATTGTATGGTTTAAGTAATTTGTCTCTCGTCAATATTGGATTACTTAGATGGCTGGTTGTTATAGAATAGACACATGGGATTCATGCAATGGGGTCAGACTCATATATGCACAATGTGTGGAGAACCAAAACTAAACGAGAAATAACCTCTTCTTTACATGTCTTGGTCTTTTTGGGACTTGACCCTTTCACATTTAAAGCCCAATGGTCTTTCCAAAGTCGGGTTACAACTAGCTAAAAAGGCATCCTAGTCAACTATTATTGGATTTATTGGTAAGCGTGTAATGCATGAGAACACCAAAACTCACCGAATTCAACTTAGTCTATAAGTACCCTCAAATTATCTTCAATACTTGCTCTAAAAGATGGAAATGGAGGAGACAACACAGCTCTGAACAGATGGATCCCTATATTCCCTTTGGTTAGCCATTAAGATTTTACTTCCTCTATTTTTGTTTTCAACTTGATTTAGTTGATTATTGTAGAGTATTTGTATGTGCTCTAAAGCTTATCCTAGTACTCTCTCATATTTGCTCTCCATGTTTAGGAATAATAGTTTCTAAGAAAAAAAAATTGCTGTTATATAAATTAAAATAAAATTTATCTTGTGTGAAGACTAAGTATAACTTACTATTTGTTTGTCAACAAGCATAATCTAATATACTCCCTCCGTTTCAAATTATATGTCATTCTAGAGTAAAATTTTCGTTTCAAAATAAGTGTCGCTTTATAATTTCAATGCAAAATTTATTGATTTTAAATATTCTATTTTTTTCATTGGTTGAAAAGTGGTTAGGTGTATAGGTAATTGTGTTTTTATTTTGAAAATATGTAAAATTAATTGTTTTTTTAATCTGTGTGCAAAACTCTAGAATGACAATTAAATTGAAACGGAGGGAGTAAATCATGTTTGCAAAATAAGAAGAAAGAAAATAAAATGGTGCTCATTCCACCGCCGCAACTCCTCCCACCACTCTGCCTCTGCTGCTCATTCCAACTTTAGCATCAAACCACAGTCACCGGTCACCCTACACCTGTCCAAAAAATTTTCTAGTTCTTCTTTACTTTTGTTAATCCTATCCGTATGTTAGATAAACTAGAAAGAGAGTTTGTATGTCATAAATGTTGAAATCAAATTTTGAAAAATTGTAAAAGTTTTTTTCTTTTGTTTTCTAGTGTGGTTGTTAATAGTGATTTAATTCGTGATTTTCATGATGTTTGATTATAATCAGACTATTATGTCGAAAATTCTTATAAATCTCTTCAGTATTCGTATTGATTACATTGACTGATCCACCGTCGATCGACAACACCGAGCCTTACTGAATGTCGGAGCAAACGATCTACACCAACCGTTTATGACTTATTGGTCCAAGATATCCGTGCTAGACACACTGTCTCATGAGCTTCCTTGCTGTCCTTTAATGAAGTCCATGCTTGAGAGGAGTAAAGGATCTCGGTGCCGGGAAAAGCCCACCTACCGCCTTGAGTATCTCTAATCTAGCACACCTCATTATGGGAGAAGGGAGAGACAAAGCAAAGCAACAACTTGTTACGTAGAGAGAATGGAGAGATGAGAGTTTTATCTGTATTGTGATAAGTATACACTGTTAGTTAGGGATTATTAATATTTTTTATCAAGGAAAAGGTAAAGCATAGCACATTATTTGGTATTGGTAGAAAAAATTCTCTTTGTCAATTTAAATAAATAATATAGAAATTAAAATTAAAAAGAATGACATGCCATTATAAATAATTTAAAAACAAAATGCAGAATTCTAGTAGGAATTCTACTTTAATTAGTATAGATATTAGTGAACTGAAAACACTCTTTTATCTAATGTATTAATATCATTGTACATTAGTAAAGGAAAATCCGGTAATTTTGCTTTTTCATTTATTTATATAACTAATTTATATTTTTTTGCATGAAATCCTAATTATCTTTTTATCGGTGTATTTCCACCAAAATCGCCCTTATTAGAGTAAGGATAACTTTCATTATTAGTTGATTTTTACAAATCAGGATATATACACAAATGCAGCTTGGCCAAGAAAAAATAATTTACACAAATGTAGAAATTACAACTTTCTCAATTAGTTAATTTACAAAAATCTGGGCTTATACTCTGACAAGCAAAGCAATACATTTATTTTTGTTGCTGTGAATACTTATAAGATTTTGTTTAAGGTGAACGCTTTTTTGTTGTGTGAGGAGGGGAGGGGGGGGGGATTGGGATCGGCTCATCACATATTTCATTGACATTTTTGATTTTCTTTCTCAACCAAAAATTAAATTTAAATTCCATTTCTCCAAGGCATCTTAGAAATTACAAAACTATACATTATAAACTAACAACTAATCAATTAACTAACAATTAATCAATTAGGACCCCAACAACTCAAATACATAACCGTTCTGAGCGATTCTTCACACTTCTTCGCCTTTTCACTCTCATCAGACGAGTTAACTGCGGCGGCAACAGAAGAGGAGAACCTTTTCCCCTGAGCAACAGTTCGGACATTGTTCCGGAGATGCTGATTCACCGACCGGAACATGTAGTTCCACCGACAAAGACCCAACTGGTCTTTCAACGTCTCTACGACTCCGATGCTAACTCCCACCGTCCACGCTTTGCTTGTAGAACTCATCTCTTCTTCACTTTTCACTTAACGATCTTCTTTTGGATTTTTTAATATAGTGTTTTAGTATTTCGATGGTTTTAGAGAAGGGAAATTGAGTGATATATATAAAATGAAGAAGCCAACAATAATTGCCGTTAGGTTGGAGTGAAACCACAATATGTTGGCTGCTGGTTTTCTAAGTTACCACCGTCTGGATCGTTATATGACGATTTTATCCTTATAAAGAACAATAGATAAGGGGTAATATTGATCTTTTGTTAGATCGTGGTTTGAAGAGTGTGCACCTGGTTTCAGGATTATTTGGGTTTCGTGTTCCTTCCTAAGTTACGTGATTTTAAACAACTGTGAATAAGTCAAAAACATAATTAAGTGATAAAGAATGAGTTACTTTGGTAGATAACCAAATGCATGGCCAAAATCGGCAACAATCACAAAGGTGATACAACAGTAAAATATCTATAAATTAGTAGTGTTAAACTTGTAAATTTGATTAATTTATAAAGATATTAATTTATAAAATTTTCTTATTCAGATTTCTTTTTAAGATATATTTATTCTAATATAAGAAAAATATTTAATTTCAGTGTATAAACATTAACTATTATTATTATTTAAAATTGACTTTTATAGTAACTTTATTATATTATTTAGTGTATATAATACATATTAAAAAGAATGTAAATGTGATTTTAGATATAAAATTCTAAATGCCATCAAAATATATTAAGTGTTATGAAAATATAAAAATATTTTTATTATGAATATAACACAAAAAATATAATGTAGGTTCTTACTTATAAAAAATAGGTATACATATAATTTATTAATTTATAGTTTAAATATGACCATATCATTACGTAGAATTTTCTTAAAATTATTATCTTATTTTTTATCGATTTCTGTCAAATTTTGAACCGACCCAAGATAAAATCGTCAAAATTTAATAATTTAAAGAGATTATTAATTTATCCAATATTAATTTATAGATATTCTACTATATTTAGTATATTGTTGCTATGTAAACAAGACAAGAAGAGTTTGCTACTTGTGGGATTTAAATTCTTTTCTTTTTCTAACAAAAAAATTAAAAGTAGAAATAAAATTATGCTATGTAAATTTTTTTTAGCTGTTGGGGGTCATAATTTCTAATTGTTGTACACCGTAGATTTTTAGTTTTGCTATGTAAATTTGTTTTTCGTCTTTTAAAATTAAGAGAATTGGGTCAAAATCCTAAAAGAACTACCTAATTAACGAACTACCTAAATTCAATTTATTGTAAGCTAATTGTGCAAATGAAAGACACAAGAAGACAAAACTGCCCTTTTATTGCTTAGCTAAGCTTTGTTTAGGTGAGAAACTAAAAAGAATTTTCATATTAATTGGTAGAATTATAAGATTAGGTTAAGTTATATTCCCCACATAATTACGTGAAACTTAATTGGAAAATTACCTTCTTAGAAATTATGATACTTGCGAGAAAAGGAGAATCGCGCCAAATGATCTTCCTTTAACTTCAAAGAAATATCTAGAATAAAGAGGTGAGAAAATGTATGCTGAAGTCTGTCTATAAAAGTTACAAGTTTCTCTGTTGGTTCAATTATAAAATTATGAAATTGAATCATAATTTCCTTTATCGAACAAGTTTCTCTGTTGGTTCAACCTCATACGTCGTGGATGACATGCAAGACGAGAACTCAGGAGCTGCCTTTGAAAGTAAGTATGTTTTTATTTGAAAATCAGGATTATTGTTGTATGATGTTACTACAGTTGATGAGAATATGGTGGCTACTCAGGGGAATGAGATGAGAAGTTAGTTAAACTTAACAATAAGCGAGATCAAAGGTTAACCGGCTAATTTTCTGGTACTATTGTGTAACAATATAATTGACAGTAATCATGTTAAATAACTGTTTAGTAGTTATCGCACTTTGTATTAGACAGAAATTTAAATTTTTAATATAGTAACCAAAGTTTTTCCATTGTTTACAATAGCTATTACCACTCCTAATATGGCGATTAGTCAAGAGGAAGCACCTCCAGTTTTTGGGATGTGGGGATAACCATAATGAACTACCAAAGCATTGCAACACACAGCCATTATAACATGTAATTAGCCTGATATTTATTTATATGTACAGCTAAATTAGCAAGTTTAGTTTTCATACAAGTTAATTAGCCATCTAAATTTATCACTAGCAAGGTAACTAATTTTCTTGAGTCTACATAGGCATTACTCAGAAGTGTTACAAGAATGTCTTTACGAGGCATCCATTGTTTGTATTCAAGAAACATACCACATTATTCAATCAGAGTGATTTTGTAATTGATTAACACAATTATCTAATGTTCGCATACATTGAATTATTCAAGAAACGGACCAAATGATTTTAGGATAGCCCACTATAACTCATAATTATCAAGTTTTTTGTACAACTTGATTAGGAGTTTAGTTTCCAACATCTCAATTAGCCATCTAATTTTCTCAATAGAATGCAACCTTGTTTTGGGTACAGCTAAGTTATCAAGTTTACTTTCACAAATTAATTTGCCATCGATCTAACATTTTCGCTAATCGCTAGCAAAGCCAACTAGGTTTTTAGCCTGCATAGACATTAATTTGCAGCGTTTACGTCAAAGTTTAGCTTGGTTTGGGAGTTTTTTCGAAGGCTAAACGTTAATGTAACCGTTGTTGTGAATCTTGTGATATAGTGTATGATATAATATATTTGGATAAAGTGATTTCAAATATGATTATATGCTAAAGCAATATAAATTGTTTACTATGCTAATATTCAATAAATTAATTTCTCTAAAGTATGGGTATTATTGATTTTAAATCGTTTGACTTAATATTATGTTTGAACTTTAAAGTTATCAACACAATCATGTATTTATTGCCTTAATGGTTATTGTCATGTCTTACGTTACATGTTTTAATGATTTTCAGTGACAAATATTGTAAATTCTCTAGTAAGTAAAGGTCTTCTAAAAATGATGACTGAGGAGATTTGTGGTGTTGCCACATCAGTCATAATGGTAAAACTGTTATTAAATAACAAAACCAAGATTTATTATCCTAATTGCTTCTCCTTTAATAATAAAGAGATGTATAACTAGATGATAACACGCGCCATGCACGGAGTAAACTTTTTAATAAATATAATGTATTTGAATATATATATATTTTGTTATCAATAACTTCTTTTTACATTTGATTAGGAATGGGTATTCAGATACCATTTGGTTTGGTTAAATTATGTTTGGTTTAGATCTTTGCGGGTTTGATTATAATCTTTGCAAGTTTGGTTTGGGTTTAGGTTCATTTAACCCATTTAATTTTTTTTTAAAGATTAAAGTTCATACATACTTTAAATTTCTCAAAATCTAAAAATAAAATAATATATTACATATAAATTTGAAAAATGAATGTCAAAATACATAAACCTAACATAAAATTGGTCTATCTTAAATATTTGGTCAAAAAATCAATAAATTTTTCAAATATTTTTGGTATTTAAAGTATCGTTTAGCTATTTTAAAAATGTACATTTAACTATTTTATATATTTCTAAGTATTTTGGAAAATTTTAAAACATCTCAAGTATTTTATATATTCTTAGATGTTAATTTTAAAAAATAATTAATATATTTAAATATATAAATCTGGTTCGAGTACACTTGAATACCCGAAATATTTCAATTCGGTTTCGATTCTCTAGATACCAAAATTTTGGATCCGTTTGGATATCTAACAAATTTTGCTTAAAGAACTGTACTACTTTTTGAATTAGATTTGATTCGGTTATTTGGATTCAGTTTTCTTGCCCAACCCTATATTTTTTACTGTAACAAGATTTTAAACGAAATGGATGATGGTTATATTGATTTTCGGTATGCAACAATTTTTAAACCAAAAAACACTTATTATCTATGTGATACATTTAGTAAATCATTAAAAATTGTTTAATGCCCATTAAAAACTATTGGCTGAACTAAAAAACGTTACTATTGATCACAAAATTTTCAATGTGATATTTTTACCATTTTTTATAATTTATGCTTGTTTAAAAAATTCAAAATATAAAATCTAAGAAAAATGTAAAATTTTTAATTATATGATTAATGTGATTTTATAATTTATTTTAATAATAGAAAATTAAATAAAAAGTAAAGAGGATAAAAAATTGTTATCAAATTTTTATTATTCATAATCATTAATTGTGATATATATGTTAATCATATTAGGTAATTTCGTAGCTTTTATTTAAGGAAAAAATATAGAATATTCTTTTGTACACTACTAACAAAATATGATAGTTAGTTTAATTGAACATATATTTATATATAGGAGATAGAGAGAATTAGGGAAATGCCCAAAATCGAAGTCTATATTAGGCAAATGCACATGAGTTGACATTAAAACAACTTTTTCTACAATTTAATTGGTGTTGGACGAAAATGCTCTTCTGAATCATATTACATATATCTGACACTCTCTCTCCAACGATTCTTCCTCTCTTTTTTTAAACCACACATATTTTTCACACATCTCTTTTTCATATTCATTTATTTCTTTTTACACTATTTTTTTCTTGATTTTCTTTTCTCATCTACAATTTTATATGTAAATGAATTTTAAGTTTACTCATTTTGATAGAGAAATGAAACTTCAAGAATATTTATTTATTAACATATAATACCTAACGCATGTATTGACATCTACAAAATTTATTAACAACTAACATCTCAATTAACACTTATAATACATGTCTTGTTAACAGCTAACACATTTGTTAACATTTACAAAATTTGTTAACAGTTAATGCCTCTGTTAATACATCTGATACATGTATTTGTTAACAGCTAACACTTTTGTTGACATCTACATTATTTGTTAACAGATAACATAAGTGTTAACATCTCGGTGATTTAAAAAAAAAAACTTCAATGCTGATTTTTTCAGAATGTGATGTAATTAAAATAATTTAGATTCATAAGAATAGTAGTAAAATATTAATAAATTTTTTCACAACAATAAATTTTTACACACAAAAATGAAGGTTTTAACATGATAAGAAAGTTTGAGAATGAGAAAGAAGAGGAATCGAAGGAAAGAAAGTGTCAGGAGAGAGAGTATGTGTCAGGTGAGAGAAAGTCACATGCATATAAAAGGAAGGGCAATTTAGTTATTATATTTAATTATGTCACATCGTGTGTATTTCCCTAATTAAGGGTCTTAATATGGTGTTTCAGAAAATTATCTCTAGGAGATATGACTTCTTCTGACAAAAGTTGAATGAAACTCTTTCAACCTCC